GAAGGGACACCAGTTAGGGCCCTGCTCTGCCCAGGCCAGGACAGCTCACTGGAGGCTTCTCTCTGGCACTGCTCCAGCCTCATGTCTGTGTCGTGGAGAGGGGTGGGCAGGCCTCAGACACTGTCCTGGGCCTGCTCGCACTATCAGAGCCACTCACACGCTGAGAGGACCAAAAGCTTCCAAGCGTGACTTCCAGCCTCTCGTCCAGAGCCACTCAAACACGTCACAGGCACAGGGCTGGAGAGCCCAGACAGCACTGCACTATCTCCTCCACTCCCACCCCATCCTTCCTGTGCAGCTGTGACTCGAACCTGAGCTGTCACACCACTGTCACGGTCCTCGTCCTGTTTCCATTCCTGGAAGGGTGGTCTGAGAAGCAGGCAGTGGACCACCCGGAGCTTCCTTCAGGGTCAGGGGTGGAGTTCTGCAGACGGGGTGCAGCACAGTGTGGTCCTCAGCCAGGGCGGCTCCCTGTGGGGAGGGCAAGAGTCTGAGGTCATTAGCAGCTTCTGTAAGTGACCATGGCCTGAGAAGCCCTGCGGCCTGCAGGCTGGGTCCCATGCAGCAGGTGGACAGAAGTCAGCCCCCCATGAGAAAGGGCCCTAGTGCAGGCTCCGGGAGGGCCCAGTGGCACTGCCTTTCTTGTATGAATAATAGCATTTTACGAAGAGAGACATTTTTCTTATTTTATTTCCAGAAAACTGCTTTCTGAAGCATAGACTTTGCACATAGGATGGTAACGACTTTTTAATGACCTGAAGGGGACTGGTGTCCAGGCAGCAGCGAATCAGTCTCAGTGGGAGGCTCATAGTGAGAGAGAAGATGGAACACCTGAAACCAAAGGGGGAAAAACAAACTGCAAATACCTATATTTTCTTTGCTAGCATTACTTGGTAATTAGACAATTACAGGAAGCGGCTTCCCAGCAGCTGGCATTTCCACTGTGCGAGCGGAGGAGGGATGGCAACAACTGCGAACCCCTCACATTTATTATAGAAAATATTATTGGAGTTCGCAGTCGTGGGTGCGTGCTCTCCTCCCATGCATTCTGATGAGCTGCGAGTGCAAGCGCGAGAGTAGACCTCCTCTCGGGGAGCTCGCATGCACTGCTGGGCTTTCGGGGAGCCCACCTGCCCAGGCTGATCAGTGAGGAATTGCTTTTAAAATATTAGGGCTACTTTTTTTTAGGTTTTTTGTTTTGTTTCTGTTTTTGCTATAGGGTGTGTGTGTTCACCAGAAAGAGAGAGACAGAAAGCGAGAAATCATCCCCGAGGGGATGGCCACACAGCAGTCCCTTCCCCTACATTCTCCCCTTGGGATCTTGGGCACGCACATACACACATGTGCCCGGCATGAGTTTAAGCCACCGGGTCCGGGACTCAAACTGCAGTTGACTACATGGAGTCCAGTGACATAGCTATTATGCTATTTACTGGTCCTGGGGCTACTTTTGAGATCACCTAGAGAAGGCCAATCCAGAGAGCTGGAGGGCTGCGTTTGGAGGAGGGAAAGGAAGGGTAGGAGGAGCCTGTGAGAACTTGGCTCCTTCCCCACGTGCCACCACTCTTGGGAGAAGGCTCAGACGGCATTGAGTGACCCCGAGTGCTAGGACTCCACAGCCCTGAAGCCGTGTGCAGAGCGCCCCCGCCGTCTGGGAGCCAGCAGCACTCAGGTGGTGCACTGTGTTGGCTTTCTGTGTGTTTCCTCTAGAATGAAGTGTCATGGATCTTTGCATCTTCTGTATCTAAATAGGAATACATTCTCTAAGGAAAAAATACAATGTTCTTTATTGGTACCAAAGCTTTCTGATTCTGAGCATGAATTTCTGGACATGAATTATAAATAAGCATTGTGTTGAAGGGTCCCGGACATTTTCAAATTGCCTTCCTATTGTCTGAATAACCTTTTGCCTTGATCAAATAAAACCTTGTTCATTTGGCTCTCTTCTAGAGAAGGTAAGCTTTGAATGCATATGCTTGGATTCTCGGATGTTCATGTTTGTGGCACAAAACAGTTGGTGATCTAGGTAGCTAGAAAACAGCCGCTGGTTTGAGCTTAAAAGCTTGCTGGGGAGGATCAGCAGCTGGTGTAATGGTTATGTCGCTAGACTCCCATGGAGTTGACCGTGGATCAAGTCCTGAATCCAGCGGATTAAAACTCACGCCAGGTATGGGAGCCTGCATGCCCAAAATCCTGAGAGGAGAATGGAAGAGAAGGGATTATGGCGTGTCCATCCTCCCCGGGGGAGGGGGGTATTTCTCACTTCCTCTCTCTCTCTCTCTCTCTCTCTGTCTCTCTCTCTCTGTCTCTGCTGCCCACACACGTTCTATAGTAAGAAATTTTTTTAAAAGAAAGAATAAATATGTAAGCTCTTAAACACCCCTCTGAGCTTCTCATCTGCACGTCCCACAGGTGGCTGAGTAAATGCATGCTCCAGGCTATTTGGAAAACTCTGGCTTTCTACCTACGAAGTGCCTCCTTGCCCTTCAGGCAGCACCCAGAAGAGGTGCCCCACACTCCCAGGGCCAGGGAAGCTTCCCGACGACCCAGTCAGCAGACACAGACGAGCAAGCTGTGTGCTAAAAAAGGAGATTGTTCCTTTGGATTT